AAATAAACGTTTTTTGCCTTTTTCTTAAAGCGGGATCGTCCCAAGTACGTTGGAATCCACTGTCGTCGCATACCTTGGCCACGGCGCACGACGGAGATGTCAAGATATGGGACCAGCGGAAGGCAACGAGCCCTGTACAGTACATAACGGCTCATTTGACAAAAGTAAATAGCTTCGTTACAAATGCATAGCGTAGGTCGAGTGATTTTTATAAGAAAGTGTCCAAGTCAAAGTCAAATTTTAGATACATGGTTTAGATTGGTGTCCCTTTCAACAAAATCAATTGGCAACATCGAGTCAAGACTGCACCGTCAAGATCTTCGATATTTTAAATCCGCGCAGGGCCGAGAGTATTTTGACGACAAATTCTCCTGTATGGAGAGCAAGATACACGGTAAGAACACAGATATGGAAGAGTTTTTATTGCGGCTACTCCGTATGATGCGTCATTCGTAAATTTTTATACAGCCCTTTGGGGAGGGTTTGGTGACGATAGTGGTGCCGCAATTACGACGTGGAGAAAACAGTCTTTTACTATGGAACACGTCAAACCTCAGTGCGCCAATATATACGTTTGCGGGCCACACGGATGTCGTGCTCGAGTTTCAATGGCGGCATCTGAAACTAGGTTGTTATACAAAGTATTGAAAGCATATTATAAAAAGAAATTATAAAAAGTATATCGCTACAACTCTATTCGTATTTGCTTGTAGAAAACAGCGAATTTGAACTCGTTACATGGTCCAAGGATCAATGTCTGAGGATATATAAAATCAGTCCATTCATAAAGAAAGTAAGACTGTAACTTATCTTTCTCACAATTTTGTGAGTTATAACAAATGCGAACAATAAGAAATATTTTTTATTTTCAGTTATGTAGCAATGGTATGGACGATGGCCTGTCAGTTTATAGCCAGTATTCCGAAGAGAACAATTTAAGTACGTAGGACGTTGCGGTATTTCTGTGATGAAATTTTTTATATACAAGAAATCTCTTTGTAGGAACCTTGCAGTCCGTCCAAGAATTGCAGCTGAACACTTCTCAGAGCGAGCCTGAGATAAATTACATTACAACCAAAGTAGATGAGCCTGTGCCGCAGTCTGAAACGATCAGCCTCCCGGACAGTTCCAAAAAAGTCTCATCTCCCACTCAGCCAAAGAGTTTGCAGCAGGAATTTTCCCTGATAAATATGAATATACCAAATATAGAGGTAACGTTGCTTTAGACACGCGAGGTACGAGGTACGCGATCGATTTGAAACAACTAACTGTTCACATTTCGATTCAGGTGAATGCGATGGACGTGGTGGAGAGGAGCTGTACGATAACCGCGTGTACAAAGAACTACAATGTGATATTAAAAGTAAATTTCCCCGTTAATTATCCGTGCAGTGCGCAACCGACGTTTCAGTTTTGTCCCGGTACAACTATCGACAATACGACGATGACCAAGCTGCTGAAGGTTCTCGTGCAAACCGCTCAGCATCGCGTCAAAAAGAATAGATCGTGCTTGGAACCGTGTCTCCGACAACTGAATTTAACTTTGGAGCAAGTAAGCGGATCTCTTCTCTTCGAATTAACGTAGCGTTCGAATAAAAATTTTGATTTGTGTCGTGCTCGACAGATGTGCAAGAAGGACGAGGACGAGAGCGGTCATTTGGTGTATCACATGCAGGATAACAGCAATTTCCTGAGTTCTCCCAATATCTGCGCGAATTATCAGGACTCTTATATACCGTTTCCTAGAACATCCGGCGCTAAATTTTGTTGTGTAGGTGCGTGTACACTCTACGTTTTTTAACTTTGCATTTTTCTAATCGCTTTCTGGACAGGTATCCTCGTTTGTTTCGGCCGTCCCTCCTACGCGAGAAGATCGTCAATGAAACCAGGAGATGCGACACCCAGAGCACTGTCCGCCCTGGACAATAGCATCGGTAACGGCGAACCTTTCATGCATATGTACCGAAGTTCCTACGTGCCAACTAACGATAACATGTCTATCAGCTCGTATTACTTTCAAGATCGTGTAAGGAATATTTGAATTGATAAAAATAAGAGTACATATGTTGTGTGTTATAATATATACGTTATCTATGTAACTACAATTCTATCAGCAGAAGGACCTTCGACGTGGATTGCACAGCACGGGTAGAATGCATGATCGTTCGTATTTCAAGAATTGCCACCCGATGGTTATGATATACGATGTTTCGTCATTATTCTTTGTTAATAAGGAACTCGCCGAGAAATATACGTGAGTACGACAATTATATTATGTTGTTTAAGCGTTTTGTAAATGTATGAAAATATTTTATTACTTTTTAGAATCAACACTGCTGACATTTCGGCCATGTATAAGCACAATGCGAACGTGGCTGCTGCGGTGGAAAGGCCCGACTTAATTCAGACTTGGTGTTTAGCTGGTTTAATCATTTCGCAGCCACCGTCCAATACTGAGCAGAACTCTTGTCAATCGGGTCATTCTCCCGATATCAATGCTCCATGGCCCCTACATCCCTGGGGCCAAAACTTAATTCATTTCTTGTAAGTAGTGCTCTTGATTTTATTACTATATTATAATAATTAAAATTATATTCAGAAAGATGATATATCGAATTCAAATAATATTAAATCGAATAATAGAATAATTTTTAAATTAATAGTTAATTTTTGACATATAGACTTTAAAAAAGGATTTATTTGAAAATAATTCAACTTAGATATGCGATGTCTTCGTAGATTGTTGGTCATCTTAATTGTTGATCGTAACATATTTACTCCATATATGTAATTACTTTTGTATTTAGAATACAGCATTACGCTAAGCAGTCTGATGTTCAAATGGCTGGCATGCTGAGCTGCGCACTTAGCTACCGATCCGAGAACACCGATGCTTCGCAAACCAAGTTGACTAGCAAATCTGTGAACGTCAGTGTAAGTATGCAATTTGTGCGAAAGAGCAAAAAGCGCAGGTTGTGTGTCACTTGAAAATTTTTTCTCACGAGTACTCACGATGCGGCATTGACGCGACCATTTGTCCCGTAAACTTGACGAGAGAAATTTAATGTACATTACATGTTTACCGGTCACATTTTCGCTTTCTATTCTGCATACGCGTGTCCCGGTATTTGATAAGAATGGAGATTTTTATGCACAGCACAGTGTCCCTTTCTTCCGATGCATGAGAGAATATATGACGGTTTTTTTTTTTTAAGTGATGTGTAATTTGTATAAATGTTTGATGTGCGAATACGGCGGTACAGTATGCATATTTAATCACAAATAATGAACCACGTGCGATGATTAAAATTTTAATTTTTCATGCGTTATCATATAATAGTAGATATCATATTGTATCGGCGTATATCTTCATTTTTATATTTTCCAATTATATACATATCGCTGTTAACGATATAATGTTACGTTTGTTATAGAGGCTTTCCATAGGAAAATGGTGGTTAAAGGTAAGATCTCTGAGTTTGGTTAAAACAAAATGTTTGGAATATTGGATTTGGTTTTTAGGATTCTCTATATAATCAATATCTTGTGCTCGTTTCTCAGCATCGGACTGAAAGTGTTACCACTAAATGGATTTGTTCACTAGAATTGAAGTAGATACGAATTTTGCATTACATATTTGTATGGACGCGATTGATAAAAGAAAAAGGAAAAATAACGTGTATAGTAACACATTATTTTTTCGAAAGTAACAAATTGCAATTAGTGGTTAAACGACATGTGCTGTTTGTCATAATTAGTTATACGTATACTTCATATAAACAAGTGATCGTCATCTCTCTATGAAGAGAATTCATGTAGAGAGTAGTTTCATTAATAATAACACATTACGACCGACTTGTGTAATCGCTAACGTTAATTGCTGTGTGTGTGTTGTATATCGTGTACGTGTGTATTATATAATTGTATATGGTTGATATATGTATCTCAACTGTGAATCTGTTCTATTCAATATATCCTTGCAGCCTGGTGGTTCGCCTTATCACACAATACATTTGGCAGATACCACGTTAGAGGGATGGAATTTTCAGAATCTGAAGCAACACCGGTCAAACTCATGGTCGGAGTCGTTGGATGATTTGAAAGTCATTCAAGACAGCTTTGGGGATTCGGCGAAAAATATTAAGTATGTTTCTTGCACTGACGCGTTTGGGGGATCGTAAAGAAAGATGAAAGCTATTTTAAGTATCTTCTTTCGAAATGCCTTTCGAAATTTCTGTGCTTGCGGGAGAATATTTTAGATTGTAGTATTAATCCTGAATATCTTATGCAGATTGTTTGATGAGAAATACACGGCGTTGTACGACGGTTACAAGAAGGCGTACGCTGAGGCGTTACACAGGTGGGAGTTGTTGGACGCTCGGGCACAAGTGTTGAAACACCTGAGCGCGTCCTTGATCGACGTGCAGAAGGACGTCGAATTGCAAAACGAGTGTCGAATCTGCGGCAAGATCAGCCCAGGTCCGCAGTGCGCTAATTGCAAGGGGTTGAGCTTCCAATGTATCGTTTGTCATGTTACAGTCAGAGGTTCGTAGCTTTTTGTCTAAACTGATTCGATAATAGGTATTTTAATTATAATCTTAAACAAACTTAAAAGTTTTGTTTTTGTTGAAAAATCTAGGTGCAAGTAATTCTTGCATGTTTTGCGGCCACGGTGGACACATTGAGCACTTAGCGGCGTGGTTCGCTAAAGAGATAGTATGTCCTACGGGCTGCGGTTGTCATTGCTTGCAGGAAAATTCAGTGCTATTTAAGATATAAGGTAATGTAGACGAAATTGTATATAATCATCATCTGTGATAGCCATTGTTGCGAAAAAAGAATAAATTTAATCATTGATCAAAGATGAATAAATCAAAGATGACAAAAAATTAAATATTTAAATGATTTTACGGTATTAAGGCATAGATTTGAGCTGAATTAGATATCTACAAATTATTTTCGTTGTTTAAGGTTGTTAAGATTGTTATACGAGATCGATATAGAAAAAACAAAAACTTTATTGTTTCTTCAATTAAATGCATATAAAACCAGTTTATATATAATTACAGCAAGAACAATTTAACTGTGATTTGTTGTAAATTTTCACGCGTAATTAAATTATGGCAACTAGTATCGATGGCAATTAGTATCGATAATGATCGGGCTTGTAAGGTCCTTCCACAGGCAGATCCAAATACTTGGCCTGATCTGGCGTGAGTGTCGTTAACTTTACACCCAAGTGATTCAGGTGTAATGCCGCAACCTCCTCGTCCAGTTTCTTCGGCAACATATGTACGCCAATCGAATACTTGTCCGATTTCGTCCAGAGTTCGATTTGTGCGAGCACCTGGTTCGTAAATGAGTTGCTCATAACGAAGCTCGAGTGGCCCATCGCGCAACCCAGGTTCACCAAACGCCCCTCCGCGAGAAGAATAATATGTCTGAAATATGAATGATGTAATTTAACTCATTATCAAAAGGTTTCAATCCATTCGATTCAGCAATCATACATAGCACACAAAACATACCTGCCGTTCTTCAATAGATATCTGTCCACTTGAGGTTTTATGTTGGTCTTCTCGCCGTTCTTCTCCAGCCACGCGACATCGATCTCGCAATCAAAGTGTCCTATGTTGCAGACGATGGCGTCGTTCGGCATGTTCATGAAATGTCGATCCACGATGATGTCCTTGCATCCTGTGGTAGTTACATATATCTGGCCCTTCGTACTTGCTTCGTCCATTGTTGTTACCTGAGGATTACAGATATTTGTTAATTGTAAGACCGCGACGGTCTGCAACGACACTTGATAATTCTAATTTGCAACATAATATGATGATGTGCAAGTGGTAATCGAGATGATAGTTTGACGCAATTTTACAATCAATCGGATTTCTTTTCCGATGGTATTTACCTCGTATCCTGCCATGGCTGCTTGAAGAGCGTTGATAGGATCGATCTCTGTGATGATAACGCGCCCCCCGAGGGCTCTTAGACTTTGCGCGGATCCTTTGCCCACGTCTCCATATCCGGCCACTACGCACACCTTACCAGCGATCATAATATCGGTCGCTCTCTTGATTCCATCTATCAATGATTCCCTGCATCCATATAAGTTGTCGAATTTACTCTGTCAAAAGTATAAAGTCAATTTAGCTTTGTTATTACGTATTTAGATGTTAATAGGTTTTTGTTAATTTAAACTTTTATTTTAATTCTGAGAAACATTTATCTTGCAAAGTTTAATTATATGAAAAATACATGTCTACTTTTGAAAGTGCAGCGTCATATGCATTGCGTTAAGATTTCTGCAAGTGTTAACATACTCATGATTCACTTATCATCCGTTTATCAGTTTCGTTACTATTTCGTCATTATTTTATAACACATATTTATCTCAATTCATCCGAACAATGACTATTGGGTTCTAATCGAGCCATAATCATTAATGATATCTTCTTCTAACTTATTGACGCACTCTAAGCGTCAACTTCGTATCGATAGCTTATTCATCATTTTATAAACTTGTTTACTCATGTCGTTGCTCCTGTGAACGTGCACAAACCTTCGTGACGGAGTCGTTGACGTTAATCGCCGGCACTTTGAGCGTACCCTCTTTCATCATGCGGTAGAGATTGTGCACTCCAGTGGTGGTCTCCTCGGATAGGCCGCGACATTCCTTGAGATACTGCGGATATTTGGTGTGCACGAGATTTGTCAGGTCACCGCCGTCATCGAGGAGCAAATTGAACGGCTTGCCATCCCGGAACACGAGGGTCTGCTCAATACACCAGATATACTCCTCGTCGGTCTCTCCCTTCCACGCGTACACCGGCACTCCAGTCTTCGCTATCGCCGCCGCAGCGTGATCCTGCGTGCTGAATATGTTACAAGACGACCATTGTACCTGCGATAGAAGAATGACTTTGTTGAAATTCGGATATTAAGTTTCTAAATGGCTGAATATTTTTGCACACAAAACTACTCGTATTTTTAGGATCAATAAATGGAGGGATATGTATAATAAAAAAATAATATACATATATTATCATACGTTATCATATGCCACATGTAAAGGCATGATTAAAAACAAAATTATTTAATGTTATTTTTTCAATTTTAATGACGTATACACGTTAAATTCATCGATTCGTAGAAGTTTGAAAAAAATCGCTGACATCACTGATTCTTTTTAACAGTAGAGATAATTATAGAGATATCTCATAAATCTGATTTTTTAAATAGTTTTCACGAGTCGAACTGAATATTAATTCACATCAGGGAAAAAAGTATTTGAAATATGAAGACTCGATTCAAGACACGTGGAGCCTTATCGAGTATAAGTTCTTGTAAGTGTTTCCAAGTTAAACGAGAAACCTTTTGAAATGTAAAGAAGAGATCTTTTTTTCTCATAACATCCGTTTTGTCATCAAATATTACCATGAAAATCGACTACGATTAGAATAGTGTATGGGAAAGATATTTTCAACTAAATACGATGTATACTCAGATTTACAGGAAAGCTCAACGAGGTCAGCAACGATAACATTCATGTGTAAATCATAATAGATTTATCTTCGCAAGTTCCTCCGCCAATAAGTAAACAGCCGCGTGAAATTCTATCGGCGCGTTACTACTGTTACTTATCACTAAAGTATCAAATAATACGAGCGTGAATTAAGCTCGTAAAGCCAGGTCCAGATTTGCATCAGATCATCGTATCGTATCATGATATTTTCTTATCAAAATACAGATATGTTGGTTATGATACGTCAAGGCCTTGTTTTCAATCCGTATTCGTATCCCATATCTTACAGATTGAAAACAAGACCTTGGCATATCATTATAATTAACATATCTGTATTTTTATATAAAAAATATGATACGATACGGTGATCTGATACATGTCTGGGCCCGGCTTTAGACTTCCTGGCTCTCACCTCCGCGCCGAGTTCCACCAGAGTCTCAATTAGCACCGCAGTTTGCACGGTCATATGAAGACAACCGGCGATCCGTGCGCCCTTTAGCACCTTGGACGGTCCATATTTTTTCCTAATCGCCATAAGCCCCGGCATCTCGTTCTCTGCCAGGGTGACTGCTTTACGACCCCATTCCGCCAAGGAGAGATCGGCTGTTGAGAAATTTTCTCCAGTTAAGTCATTGAATTCAGAAAAATTATCATTGTTGAAACCAAGAGGCAATAGTTTCGTCATATAATTAAAATTAATATTTTAAAAACATAAATATATACATACATATATAATTTGTAAACTTATAAAAATAAAATATATATTATATTAAATATAACATCAAATATGATAAATTATTATATATCAATATACAATATTGATAGTACATAACATTTTAATATGTATGTGTTATATTTAATATTATATATAATTATAAAAAAAGAATATAATACATATAGGATTTTTTCTTCGATTACATTTTGATTATCGAAGAGTAAAGCTCCTTGCACAATAGGCGATAGCGATAGCGATAGCCGACAAAGCTATACCTTTGTCGGCAACTTTGTCGCTGTCGCTATTGTTATCGCTATCGCCTATTGTGCAAGGGGTTTCAAGGTAAGAATTATAAAAGAGCAAAAACATTGTTACAAAATACAATTGCACAATGTTGCAAAATATGCGCAGAACTGCACACAGATTATTGCCACTAAGAAACTTATTTTATGACATCCGGTTTTTTAATAGTTTATTGCGTCACGGTCATACAAATTTTAACGAGAATTTTAACGTCGGGTGTAATCTCGATTAGTAAACCGCGGCGAAGGTTACCCGGGAGTTAAACTCAAAGTTTTAAATAATATAAAAAGAATCGAACTCATGTGTCTGAGAAAAATGTGAAAAGTTCGAGAGCCAATAAATCAGCAGACAAAAGATGTCAAATTAAAAATAAGATAGTTTAATAAATCCTAAATATACATGGAACGTTTTAAATTACCCTGTCTTCTTCAACATACAAAAATAAATATAATAAAATTAATTAACACAAAGAGCAAAGAAATAAAGAAAATAATTTAAAAAAAATAAAAAACGGAGCTAAAAGTAAAAATTAGCACACAGTTTACACTGTGGAGTCACATATGTGTTTAATAATCACATGGACACATCTTTTGTTTTAACATTTTTAGCACACATGTAATTTATAATCATCCTCGATCGAGATATCACACGCTCGCGTAGCGAATATCGAAGACTTGGCGCGTTCGCTCTCGTGCCATCACGGAACGGCGAGTACTTCACGTTGCTTCCCAACGGGTGCGAGCCGAGCACCGCGAGCACGTGTCTCGTTTCGCGTTCGCGTTACTCCGAAACGCGATGTCGTTCGTACGTTCGGTGTTTGCCACTTACCGACTTTATACGCGGGCTTGTCGGACATGGTGCGTCACGTTCAGGTTGGCGCGTGGAAGGTGAATGAGAGCGGCGAACCAAATGTTCAACGTGATAACCTGTACGCCCCAAGTGCCCCGATGTGCCGGTACCACCACCTCGAGAACGTTGCGCGCGGACCGCGTGACGCGATACGCGATTCTTCGAGATTCGATTATCGCACGGCGCGAGATGCAGGCGAACTGTCACTTGTCAGTCGTCGATTAGTTCTCATCGCGCGCGAGACGCGCGTCGATGTGAGAATGTGAGAATTCGACCGGTCCGGAAACGGAGGAGGGAGATCGGTCGAATTCTCACATTCTCACAGAGTACCACAGGTACGTTTGTACGCTTATTATCGATATTCGACGAATGACGTCGACGTTGGTATATTAGCGCTGATACGATCCGCCGTATCAGCGCTATCATGCGGGTCTCTTCCCGCATTCACGATTACACGGTTCCTCGCGATCACCTTTATTGTTAGATATCGAGCGGCCATGTCTCGAGCGAAACTGCAGGCAGGAAGAAAACGGTAATTGATTATTCTGATTTTATTCTGTCGTTAGAATGTACGTGAGAAATAGCGATTATAGACAATAGAGAGACAATAGGCTCGTTTATAGAAAATTTTGTAAGCAAAACAAATATTTGGGGAACAGAGAATGTTTTATAATTTTCAAGTAATTTTCAACTTGGCGGCGACGGTTTATCGTTTACGATATTCGCGATTACCGCGCGGCGAGAACGATCGCGAAGAAATTTCTCTGTTAAGTAGAGATTATGAGGAATAGAGAAACAAATAAATTTAAAACATTTTACGATGAATTACGACGTGAACGAGCGAACGAGCCAACGAGCCACCGTCGCGCAGTCGGGGGAGACGTCGAACGCGATTCGATTGGCTCGCGAGTCGAGCCCCCGAATCCGGCCAATCACGTTCGGCCGCTCCGAGCCGCCGCGGCCGGCGCGGCGTACGCATCAGCGGCATACCAGCACATACCAGGCGCGACCTTTCGTTTGAACGCAACGTACCGTCAAAGTCGACGCGCGGCCGGATCGTTCTTGTCGGCGAGCGGCCTTGCAGCTTGTTTCCATTAACGCTCGGAGTACCGTAACCTGCGGAAATCACTCGAATCAGCTATTATCCTTCCGATGAATTTCGCACGTACAGATAAGAATTAAGTGTGTTCGTGCTCCGCGCGTCCGTCGCCGTGCTTCGTGCGTGCTACGTGTTTCGGAACGCGCTCGTTTCTACGATTGGCACTCCTGCTTCTCGTTCCGCGGCCCGCGGGAATAATCCACTGCGTGAGTACGCGTGCCGTACGCGTTCAACATTCGCGAGTGTATCAAAAAAGTGTTTGTCGGAATAAACCTGTCGCGCGAATCGCTTGCTCGAGACGGAGGCGTCGAGGGGGAGACGTCCAGACGTCGAGGCGAAGGTACGTACGGCAATTGTGAACGATCGATTTGCTTTCGTCGTGATACTCGCGGGATCGTGGCGCTCGTCCCGTCATATTTCTCGACTCGAACGTAGCATTCGTGTATTTATCTCGATCGTATCGCGCTTTAAACGCTGTGCCGGAATTATGTGATTTATCTCCGCGTCTCTCACGCAGGGAAAAAGAGGGCCGAGTTATATTGTCGTAACCCCGCCCGCGCGTAAGAATCCAAAGACGGGGGAAGCTAACGTACCCTCGTCCGCCGATTTAATTGAACAAACGAACCGCAGCCGGTTCGTCGCGTTTGCTTCGGGAGTGCCGTACAAGTAATCGGACTAAAGGACTTTTTCAAAGCCCATTTTAAGAATATTACGGAGCACTTGACGGAATATTCTTCTCATGGGCTTTATAAACGGGAGTGCCGTACAGTATCGCGCGAAAAACTTTTATTTAATAATTAGTCCGCGGGCGATTGTAGTTTATTATCCGCGAGTGTTTCTCGCGAGTGTCCTGTGAGACGAGAGGAGGAGGCCTGACGTCCTGGGAGGAGGAGGAGGTCTAGGAGAGACATCGGGTACCGGCGGAGCAACCTTGGGGTGAGTATCATCTCTTATCTCTCTACACAATAATTTCTTTTCCATTTATTTAGATTGTTTTATCTTGATAAGTTAGAATAATTAGAGGAAGAGAAATTACTCAAATTTTGATAAAAGTTTATTTTTGTAGATATCTTTTTCGTAAAATAGATAATTGTATTGCTAAATATCTTATTGAAAGACATTAGAGACGCGTAACAATTATCTTTTAAAATGTTAATCATTTTGAACGCTTTTTTAATTTGAATCTCATGTTCTTATGTTACAGAATCATCGTAGCTACATGGCTGAGAACCTCCGCCCGTTGCTCATTGAGTCGGTGAGTCAGACTTTTTTTTTATTAAGGTAACAAATCTACGATTAAATATAGAGCAAATGTTTCTCAATACATGTTGAATTATGGCAATAAATAAGAGTATAAAAATCGTAGATCTGTTGCTTTAAAATGGTAAAAAACGTATTGTAAATAAAAGAGGACCGTCGATCGGAGTCGGCAGAGATGGTGGAGGGCCTTTGGCCTCGGATGAAATCAGATAGAAACAGGTCACATATCAGAGGATATTTAAACTAACATTTTTAAATTAAATGTAATATTGTCAAATTAAATATTTTGTTATAATATTTTGATAAAACATTTGCACGATTGATTAAATAATTGTAATTAAATTAATGTTAAGCAAAACATTAAAAAATATCTTTCAATAGCTATTATTATTATTATTATTACTATTATTATATTTTACTAACAAAATATACATTTGTTACAAAGAAAATTTATTTCTTAAGTACAATCGAAAATAAAATGCGAGTATTGAAATGTCCATTTTCAATTTAAATGCAAATATTATAAGAAATAGGCACACACATGACTACAGAAACAGTTTGTAACAATAGTTCTCGATACAAAAATTAGATATATTAGTGACTCAATTTATATCCTCATTAATGCAGGTTCATAGGCCCTCCCCGAACAGCAAATAAGCCTTTCCTCACCTCTGCCTGTGTTGAATTAAAAATTTTTATTTATTTGTTTTTGGTATAAAATTCGGTAAACATGTATTAATGCATATACTTTAATTATATAAACGGATTTTTAAATCTATAAATGGAATATACATATACATATACGAAATAATGCGCTCGATCGGTACTTTAGCATTCGATTCGGTTGAGCTCTGGCGACAAGAGCGAATAGTACGAATTGTACGCTACTAGATAGCGTCTCGAGTACTTTATTGCAAAATACTCCAGTAATAATATACATTATTCGTAAATCGAGTTTTGCTGACAACTCACATCGAGTTAAATTAATTTAACTCGCGTACTTTCGATAAAGTTAAATTAAAAAGAAATTAGTTATTTTAGCTAATTAAAACTTGTGAAAGGCTTAATGTAGTCCGAATTAATATAATAGAAAAACTAGGAAGAGATGTTAATCAAGATTTGTTTAAAAAAATAATTAATCGAGATTTTTAAATATACATATAACGATGCATTTTTTCAATACATGATGATAATTAACTACAGAAAGTTGATCCCGGCTCTTTTAAAATCAATAAGATGTGTCTTAATGAAAATAATCGTTAAAACCTAATCTTCGAATTCGTTCATCAACGAATCTCTCTCAAAACTTTAATTTCTCAAATCGAAGTCTTCAAAATTGGATCCGCTCTTCTGCATCTTCCCGAGCAACTCCTTCGCCTCGTTCCTCTCTTGATCTAGCACAGGATTCTTATCAATTCTCTTCAGTTTCGGAAGCATTGTCAGAACGATCCGCCTGTATCCCTCCCCTTCTCTCTCCTCCATCTTTTCTGTCAGAAAAGGATTCCCTAGGACGACAAGTGTTTCCAAGTTCGATAGGCAATCTAGCTTCCTCAGCTCGGAAATCTTCAGGAGCTCGTTATCGCGCAGATTCACGTAGCTTAAGCTACGACACCGCTCGGTGAAACCGTCCAAATTCGTGAGCCTGTTACCTCGCAGGTGTAGCGTCTTCAGATTCACAAGTTCTCCGAGACCTTCGATTTTTTCGATTTGATTTTCGGCCAGAAAGAGCCGCGTCAGATTGGAACAACAGATGTCTGCGAGAAGCAAGAAATTCGAACATTATTCAGGAAAAATCCAGTTTCTTTAGAATCCTTCTCGTTTTACCTATAACAAGTTCTTAAGCTATTGTTTGAGAAGCTCGGCATTTTTTGCTTAGATTTTTATGATCACCTTCGGCGAACGGTTAATCTCGAAAGATAAATAACTGCCTTCGTCTCGACTTTGCGCGTCTCACCTGCGGCACTGATTAGCGCGTTGCCGCGTAGCTCCAGAGTCCTCAAGCTCACGAGTATCTGAAAGTCGATAGTCACGGTGCGAATATTGTTGTGATTCAACTCCAGACGTTCGAGATTCTTATGACGGATGCCGGACGTGTCTGTCAACTCGTTCCGGTTCAGGGCAAGCTCCTAGATTTTCGAAATCGTCTTACTAGCGCGGATCTGCCGTTATCCATGCACGGAGTTCTCAATGAGATAAAAAAGACCCCGCTAAATGAGGGTCAAAAGACGACGGGATCACCTGCAAATACGGCATCGGTTTCAACTCCGCACTGGTCAGACGATTTCGATCCGCCCGCAGCGTCTGCAGATACGGCATCGCCTCGAGCGCACGCAGCGCTTCTGAGGTCAATCTGTTCCCCGACACGTTCACGTAACGAACGTGTCTGAAGGATAGTATCACGCTGACATCCGTAAGATCCCTGTCCGAGACGTCCATGCTGAGATAGGCGTATTCGTCCTGCGCGACGCATTTTCCTAAATTGTGAAGACACTCGCCAGCCTCGGAGTGTGCCAACACGCGTGTATCGTGCTCAGTTTCGTCCAACGAAATCGTTGATTCGTATTCGGGTTGACTCTCTTCGCCATAGTCCTTATCTTCAAGCTCCTTTTCAGTATTCTCCTTATCGTAGCTTTCTTCCTCCATTTATTCTTAATTGAATCCATGAGTAAAAATGTATACATATTGAGTTTATTGGAGCCATTTATAGCATTGTAGTAGAAATTTTAATATTTAATATTAATGTGATTAACATTGTTGTAATAAATATTAAATATGAATTAGAAAATAAATCAACATTTATCTTGATTATGAAATCTATAGCTTAATATTATAATTTATTATTTAATAATATATTATGAGTATATAATTTTCTAATAGCTAGAAATATGTATAATATAAATCTATGTTTTAATATAAAGGATACTTACATTACGTCGAAAGATTTCGATATTATTTGCGAGAATCTAGCCTCTTTTCTTGACGTTAATGACGATGCATCAGATAATACGTATCGATCAATGCATATCGATTAGAGTTCCATCAGACAAAAGAAAGACAAAAAGTGAGATATATCGATACACAATGCAAATTAAATATTATATTCCAATGATTTAAAAGTATCGCATAATTTATTTTAAGAAGAATAAAAGTTTTTAAATTAGAGATAATGAGAACTGTTATTAATTCAAATGGTTTAAATTATTGACCATCTCGCGATTTCGAGACGGTAGGGAAAGGTAAAAATCCAATTTTGGAAATATTAATGAAAGCATTTATTAGAAGTCCATATACATGATAGTTAAATGATTCTGTATCAAGATAGAAAAGACTTGCTGGAGATCAAAGATCGTAATTACGTACACCCTACTCTTCAATTGCACATAAAATACAAAAGACACGTGCATATATGTAAATCGCGAATTATGTAATGGCAAGGGAGCACCCCGTCGAGATCCCGCTTTTTTAACGAACTCTAACGCATCTAGATTCCTGCCATTGGACCCGTTGATTGTCCTCTGCGACTTGTCGCTTCCGGTGCATGATTTCACGAAGTTTCTTCAGTAGGATGAAATTGTCCCTGAGAATTCGCGCCTGCCGTTCGCGCTCTAACTGCAATCTCTTCGCGTTAAACGAGACATGAGGTCTGCCCTCCGGAGGGTTCACATCTACCGTTGGTCTGGCTGTTTTTACCTGCAAAGCAACACGAATGAGTATAATCGTAAATTCTCGACGACGTTACAGAGCGTGAAACGTCTGAGTCTTTATAGAGGAAAAAAACATTTAACCAATTAACATTAACTAATTACTTGAGTAAACCTTGAAGTCAAAATTTCTAATATAACTGTCTTTGATATAGCATTATTTAAAATCTCTTAAATTTAACATAAAAGTTATACGAACGTAATGCATATAATTATATCGTTTGATGTATGTACCTATAACAAACGATTTTTATAGAAAGTTTTAATCTCGCGCGAGTATATTATTTATTTTATCGCTTTTGATTCGAAGGTTATCTCTACGAAAATATCTTTAGCACTGAGGTTTCCGTTAGATCCTCGGAGCTTTCATCAAGAGCGAGCCTGATGAAAGAAACATCGATCGGTAAAATATTAAACGGAGTTGAATCAAGAGTAACGTTTATAATTCATGAGTGCTCACCCTAGACCGGTGACGCTCGTACGCCCTTCGTTGCCAGGAAGGCTCGTCCTCGCTTCGTATCCTTCCTCGGTTCGACATCCTGCTTACTTGATAATGCTGGTGTGTTTGCAGTATATAGCGCAAGTATCCAAGTTTCTCTGGCAACGGAAACGTTCGCGATATTGATCTCCGCCGCCTTTCCTTTCGACATACAAGAAGCGCGCGTACTTAATCGCGAGTGTTTATGCATTGTTACTTTAATTAATAATATCCAGAATATCGATTTTTAGATTAATACTTATAAAATGTTATGTTTTAAAGTGACGTTTCTGCACATGGAGAGAAAATTTTTAAATATAATTAATAATATAACCATCACACATAAAGTGGCGAAAGTGACGAAATTTTTCTAAATATTAGTATTATTTTATATAACAAATTGAATGTAGATAGATATATTAATAGATGTCAAGGTTTGCAAATGTAAATTAAATTAAAATTTTTTAATATGCATTCTATAACTATACGATTGTAAGATTTAAACACATGTTTAATTAAAATTTCTCAATCAGGCAAGATAGACCATAATTGTGGATCCTCGAAATTTACATATCTAAGTTTTTGAAGAAAATGAATAAATCTACATTTATTTTAGATTCCCTAAAGTCTGCGAGTAAAATTGCAAATTACCGAGTTAAAATAAGATTTGAGTGTTAGTTATATCCACACGTGCGCATATCTCCGTGTAGAAAATGGATGAAGAGCTAATCTCTCGAGACGACATACAGGAAAACGAACCCGTGCCGAGCCATGTCTCTTTGTACTTCTTGCCCGAGCAAGTATACGCAGCTAACAATATGTCATACGCACGCACGTGCACGCGTGTGCGCCCGTGTGTATCGTGCGTGCACTTCCTCCCTTCGCAGGAGGATACTGGCGATTGGCGGAGGCTGCTGGACCAATGGTGCGCGGCAAGGGGCGGAGATTCGCTCATCTCAATCCGGAGACGCGCGTGAAATTTCTCTTTCGACACGCTTAGATATTCATGCGAACGATGCGCGAAAAGAAAACGACGCACGACTTGCGAACTCAACGTTAATCTTACAATTAATTTTATAATTTTGCAAAAATTTTACAACCTCTCCTTTTTTTATGTAAATATAATTACACATTTAAATATTATTAACTATTTTTAAATGTCTATTTACACAAAAATATCCAAGAAGATAAAGAGTTTAGAGAAACTTTTAAAGAACAGCTTGATGTCGGTATATCTAAAAGGAAAAAGAAAAGAACAAAATAACTCTTTCCAGAAATATATTGTTTTGTATTTTGTATGCACGACATATTGAGTGCTTACTTTCCATTTTTAGTGGAACAAATCGACATAAGTGTCGTTTTTGTCTTTGTAACTCGTTGAATTCCAAGAAGGATAAAACTGTGTTTTCGCGCGCGCGCGTGCATGCTTTGACTTTGACTTGTGTGCCATTACTAACTGGAAAGCACCTACTGTGAAAAGAGAAAGTATAATATTTATTTCTACGACATAAAAGACGGTATTGTAACAAAACGCAAACAATGATGTAAAGTAATAAAACCTTCATGGAACTGCCATTCGTGAAAAATTAAATGCCATAAAAGAAGGAACAAAAATGAAAAGCGTGTAAAGCGTATAATGCGAATTAGTTACAAAAGAAATGTTCTCGTTCTACCTTAAAAGTTAACAATACTTTCAGTCTTGAGACCTTGACTTTTGTTTTCTTATTTTATATTGCATGTAATAGAATTGCATTTGTTATATTCTTATACAGTATTCTTATACAGTAGCAAGATTGCTGATAAGCTTATTTCCAAATTGAAAATGTATCTGCGAACTAGGAAGGATAAGTTATACTTATTCCGAGGAAATTTCCGAGAAACCAATATAATGAAAGAACGGCATTAATTTTTTGCGGTTATTCAGTTTTGCGGTCCAACCGATATTATCTTCTTTTATTGCTTTAAATTTCTTAAAAAGGAAGAGATTTCGTAAAATGCGCTCAGCTACAAAGTATACAGTAATAAAACTTATTATGGTCGATGAATTAATACCGCCGTTTATCTTTCCAATTTTTACAATATGAAAATATTTTATTGAACGAGCATACTTTATATCAAGATTGTGATTTAAATAATATCTGGACGTCCATTCGTTTGAACGTAACACCAAACGTACGGGAGATGAACGGAACAGTGGGATTAACCGGAGAATCGAAGCTGTAATATCGTTGATGCGCTCAAGAGGAGGAGGGAGGGGGGCAAAGAGGGAGGAAAAAAGGATAAATGGGTATCCATGACTGGTAACGCCATGAATCGCGCGCTCGCCGGAGGGTCGTTGATCTTAATCGCGCGCGGATCCTCGACAATGATCCTCTCAAATGGATGAGCCCCGCCACTCGAGAGAGAGACGATGAAGATCTCTTCCCTCGAGGGGATATACACACGGTGTTATACTATCTAAGCAGGCATCCGGCCAAAATGGGCTATATCCCCCTTCCCCTCTGTCCGACACGTACTTCCCGTATACCCCTGTGAAGGAATAGCCAGCCAATCCGGATACTATATCGTCGATCCCGTTGCAGTATATATTGCACTGTAAACCGGCGATGTATCCCTTCGTACTGTCAAGAGCGCGAAAAAAATTTTATGGCTGTCTTTCGAGGGAACAGCAAAAAATCTCGTACCTATTCTTCTCGGTTAGTTTAGATTCGATTTCTCTTTTACGGAAACGTTTTAGGTACCAATCATTTTTTGAATGAATGGATCCTTGTGACGTAATCTACGGAAATATGAATAGATAACACAGAACTTTACCTTATTTATTTTAACATAAAAAAATCTCGTGTGAATTGCGTGGATTTTATTTGTTAGAAGAAATTTAGTCGGGATGATTTATAGCATCGGATTTAAAAAAATATTTTATGATAAAAAACGTTTTTCCTTTTAAATAAATTTTTCAGCTTCTTTTTATGATCTTTGGTACATTAATTTGGATCATTAGAAAGAGTATTATCTAATTAGACCATAAAGTATAGATTATTATTATTTATCTATTTATTGCTTCGTTAATGAAATTTGTACAACTCATATTTATAGTATCGTCACGAAATCATAATTGTTAAACGAGACAGATAGCAGGATCGTTGGAATATCGTGTTCAAATAAAAATTTAAGATTTCCCTGGCAATCGTATAGTATCCTAAATTCTTTGCACCACTCGAGCTTTCCCGTTAAAGATTATGTATTTTCGATTTCAACCCCGCCGTTCAAAAGAAAATAAGACGCGTTTCAAAGCACTTTGAAAATAAACGGCTCGCAAGTTGTCGAGTCCGGACAAAACGGCACTCTTCCGTCCATTTATAAAATCATGAAACCAGATTGCTGGGCACAAGTTCCCTCCTTTTCTCACCCTCGGGGTGCGAGCTCGTCGCTCCGGGTGTACGATATTCGGCTCCGGAGGGTTGAATTGGGAGCCAGGCAGACTGGCTGACTGGCTAGAGAAGCCGTGATTCAGCGGCTGAGAGAGGGAGAGACGGAGGGCGGTCCAGAGACTCCAGAGGCGTGTCGGGCTCCTGGGAGTCCTGGGAGCGAGCGTGATCCAGCGTGGGGGAACTCCGCGCGCTTTTCGGTGCCCCAGGCCCCAGTCTTCACTGAGGCGCCACATCGTGCGTGTCGTTGCTGGCGAGAGTGGTCTTCTCACACTCGTGGATCGAGCGCGGTGAATCGCGCGAAAGAGAATACAAGGCTGTTCTTCGTCCCGTCATCTAAACTAACACTTTCGGAGTTTTCCTTTTTTCTTCCAAGAGGCGCGATCTCTCGTTTATCCCGATACACGCGGGAGCTAGTATCGATAGTGACATATAGTCGACCTCCACCGAGAAGGAGGAGAGAGAGTGTTGTCCAGGAGGCCCGGTTAACCCGCGGCGACGAAGATGATGCACGCAATGAGCGAGCACGCGGGCGTGGGCGTGCTACCATTCGACGGAATGGGTCTTTACGAACAGCCGCGACCGCCCCGGCTCGTCTTCAAGATGCCGCGCGTGGTCCCCGATCAGAAGACCAAGTTTGAGAGCGACGAGCTGTTCAGAAGGCTGAGTCGCGAGAGCGAGGTGAGTCCGCTACGAAAAGCAACGTCAACGATAAAGATATACGGACACGTGAAAAGAACACCCTTGAATACGTGAAAAGTCGCGTTTGAAAGAAGATTGTCTATTAGAAAATTTAAATTTCTAGGAAATTTATAAATTTCTATATCTATCTGAGAAATTAAGTTATTATACGGTAATATTTTTAAGTGGAAACGCACGCGAAAGATGGGCATTGCGTTACAAGGATGGGTAAAATACGCACGTGCTGGACACGTAAAGCTTACATTACCGTTTTTGAGAGAAAACACTCACGTTGATAATCATGCGGGTAACGCCAAGCGCGCGATACTCTTGGGAGAAAACGCACGAAGAAACAAAAAGTTAAAAGTCATGAATATATCCTAGCTTATTATGTCGAAGAAACTGATACATTTTCCTTATTTATGTTTGACATACGCGTTACGTCGTCAATCTGTTTGTAAATACATGAACTAGTAATACGAATGTTATAACCGGCAATTTTATGTTTACCGTTATTTCGGAGACTAACGAGACGATGAAATAAATAATAATTCGAACAGAGAAGCTTAAGCGACATTTCGTAATTGCATCGTGTAATCACGCTGCTGTATTAGTTCTGCGAACCAATCGCCTCGTTTTGAAATCGACATTAAGTTCGTTACTTACTATTCGCTGATCAATCCCGGTCGGAAACCTCGAGAAATGTCTTTCGAATTACGTGTCGCAATGTGCAGTGAGAGACGTCGGAACGGCAAAGGATTTCCCGTCGCTCGCCACCGACCTGGAATACGCGATGCCGTAGGAATGTTGTCCTTTCCTCGAATTTGTCTAACTGTGGATCACCCAAGAGCAGCGAATTAGTATTCCACATTCATTTCGTTTTTAACAAAAATCCGTGAATCATGGAGAAACTTTCGAAGTGGTGGTCGAGAATCCGACACGTTATCTCCACAAATGTCGTCAAATTAATTGATTCATTAATTATTATTGAAACGACAATAAAGAAACATTGAGATTTTTTCTAATGATCTGAAAGTGGTAAACTTTTATTTGATAATTGTTAGGAAATTGTTAGAAAATATTGATCAAGCGATATTTATCGTTGAAAAATTATATCGTTTGATCTGCATTCGCGACAGTTACGATGCTGCAATCGATTTTTCACATTTTAATTTTGCAAAATTACTTACGATTAGTCCAGAGAATAAAATACTAATAATATATTGTATTATTAGTATTATAGAGACCGGATCGCGGTGTCGTTTTCCCTGTTCCAAGCGCGTGCTAGCAGTCGTGAGAAGGAGTATACTCTCTACACCGTGCCGGTCTAGCGGTGTAACGTAGCAAATATATTTATTTATTTATTTATGTAATTATTCTCACGGTGCTCGGCCGCTAGCACATCCTTGGAGTGGGAAAAATGGCACCGCAATCCGGTCTCTAATTATTAAATCTACTATATGAAATCTAATAATAAATCTAAAAAAGTTACATACGTAAATTAAATGCATATCTTTTAAAATTCAAATTAATTTGCTTTAATTAATGCATCTTGATAACTGTTTTGCACCTGTTATCCTTGGATGAAAATTTCCATGCATCAACATGCACATTGCTAACAGCGATATTTCTGCTTTTTTTTATAGGTGAGATACACTGGTTACAGAGACCGGCCGCTCGAAGAACGTCAAGTACGTTTCCAAAATGGCTGTCGGGAAGGCCACACGGAGATCGCGTTTGCGGCGACGGGCACCAACCTCCAGCTTGTTTTCGGCAACGCATCCGGAAACTATCCCGTCGATCCCAACGACTGCGATTTCGACAAGGAACACGGGAAGGTAAGTGGGCATCGCTTTTTTTAAAAATTATCTTAATCATCGTGGACTTTATCCTGATTATCATCCCGATGGACCTGCACGAGCGATTTTCTATCCTTCGCTCTCGCCATTACAGCCTAAAACTCCATCTTAAATACCATCATGTTATAAAAATTTATGCAGAAATTAATTAAATTAAAGAAATAGAATTCACATTGCGCGAAAGTCTATAGAAAAGAAATTTCTTAAAAAATGTCGGTTTTAAACTTAAAAATCCGAGAATTTTAGGAACGGCCGCGACGTATTAATTTTTAATGATCCCAGTGGCTTCGGAGATCGGATTATTTTTTCGCGTAAAATTTATAAGTATTCCGCAATATCGCGCAAACTGGGAAAAGGACAGATTCCCTCCGTTGAGTCGTCTAAGCGGGAGGCTTAGACCCCGACCGCTCGAATCTCGAAACGGTGGTTCCCGAATACGATTGTGTGGTCGTAATTGGTTCGTACTATGGCCAAATTAGGGACCGTTAGGCATAGACGTTGCGCAAGTTTTCGGGTCCATAATTTAGTATCCGTCAGTATCCGGCCGCCACTTCTCGAACAATGCTACCGACGTGTCACCCCCGCATCCGGTCTCTAGAAATTCCGGGTCTCTCCGCGGGAGTTCGGGCTCCCGTTGGAGCGAGAGAAACTGGCCCAATTTATCTTTGTGTCGTGCGAACGAATTTGTAACCCTGAAACGTACGATTAAGCTCAAAAGTCAGAGATCGAAGGACGATTTAAACGCAATATAACGCAATATGAAGCGCAATTAGAATAACAGCATGGAAAAACAGCTTAAGTAGAGTAACGTTGCTTCCAAATAATAGATCCAAAATTTATCGAAACTTTGGATCATCCTAATTTTAAGGCTGCAAAAGCTCGACGAGCTTTCCCTTTAGGTCGTCAACTAGCAATCTTGTACGCCGGCGCCGCGGCCGACGCCTCTCGGCGTCGCGTCGCCATCGCGATCGATAGCGTCGCGACGCCATTTTGCAAAGTGCGCGCGCTGGTCCTTACGCGGATGTCTGGAAACTTCCAGATTATTCAGTCGTTATCTTTTTTATCGTAATTTTTGCAAACCTACATTCTATTATTTTGAAGAAACAGTCAATTTATTATTTTATATATTTCATAAGTTTATAATTTCCATGCAATCCGTATTGTAACACATGATGAGAGACATTCATCTAGAGATCAATTTCCTGATTCATTCAGGATTGATTTTTTCTTAACAAAGTTTTCGTACGTGATCTCTTTTCGAAACTTCTACACTTTTATATAAATTCTACACTTCTGTATAAATATTCAGGTAACAGTAAATATTGAATTAAAATTCTGTTAAAGTGATTTAATTTCTGTTAAATTTACAATTAAATAGAAAGTAACAGATCTTATCTATTCGCATTTTTGAAGATTAATTATTTATCATCGTGTCACAGATCGAGAGAATAAAATCAATCTCGCACTTCCGGCTCAAATATCCTTCGGAAAAAATTTGAGGGTCGTCCTTTTGCGTCACTTTGTTACAACTCATATAGACGACAGAAAACTAAAAGTGCCGTGTTAGTGGGCACCAATGGGCAATTAGCGTTCTAGAAATCCGTTAAACGCCGCCAGATGCCTCGAAGCTGTCTCAGCCAGTTACACAGTATAATGGCTCGTAAATCTCTCGGTTTCTCGCAATGGTCAAACGAAAAATCCTAATAACCTGCTGAATTTTCGTAGTTTTCTTTTTCAGATTTTTTAGATCTGTGTAGCGTTATTGAATATTTCTTTCTATAGTTTATCCACACGAATAAAATATTATCGAAAGAATTTGAAAGGAGTAGTAATTGGAGAAGAATTATAAAGGAGTATTTGATTTTCGTAAAATTTAAATTCTTACAGAATCATCTCCGTGATTTTTATTTTCTCAAAATTTTTATCATTTTTCAAACTATATATGTGATATTGTGATATAATACGAATTTAATAATTGAAAAAAATATTTAGACTGAAAATCAGTATTATTGTATCGAAAATATTTAATGTTAATTACGCTGTATAAAAAAAAACACGCTTCCAATATCTTTGTTTATCATTTACTATTACGTTATTTATGACTCCAAAAAATTTCCTGAACATTTCTACGGCCTCTTTCGTGTCGGGTGTCCTTTTGCAAAAGAGACGAAATGGAACGGAAGCGATTCATTAGATCCTGTGCACGGAGCACGGGCACGCTGTGTTTACGGGACGACCCGCGGCCTCCTTTTTGTTTTAATCGACAATGAGCGAAGGAATAAAGAGTGGCGCGCGACCACACGTGCCCGCGTGCATTGTGCCCACCGACATGCCCCGTCGGGCGACGTAATAATTAAAGGGAGAGATTTTATTCGCTATCAAGATAAACGCGCGATAGAGAGAGCGCGTGCGGTGCCCGATAATGACGAAGCTTTTAACCCTTTGCTCATCGAGCAGAAAAAAAAAGAGAAAAAGGGTGCTGATTCGCGTAATAAAAAAGCTACGAAGATTTATTAAGATAGAAATCTTAGCGTTAAATTGAAAAATAAATATTAACAGCATCGCGATATTATCTTTGATCGCTCAGTGTTGATTCCAAAATTGCTTGCCAAGATAGAAGAATAACTTTAGGAAATTTAAGGGAAAAGATAGCTCAACATTCATCTAAAAAAAAAAAATTAAACTGAAGAAAAACGAAGGAAAATTTGATTGTAATTACGAGGAGTATTGTGAGGAAAGGTAAATTTTACGGAATCTCGAAAACTCAAAAGATCTTTTGAGAAATCTTTTATATATCCTAAGGTCAAGGTGGTGCAACAATTGTGCGTACCCTTTAAATCACAGCGGGCCCTTCTTCGCCCAGGCACTGCCTTAATTACAAAATTTATAGTTCGGAAATGATCCTGAAGGCACACACACGCATCCTGTGCACATCCTGCTCGTAAAAGTTAAACGTACAGAACTGGACCTGAACGAGAGACAAAGGATGATGCGCCATACTGACCGTATGCCCCTCGCACGTCGTCCTTTTTGCCGGAACACCGTTGACGAATGTTCCGGGGTATTCACGGACCTCGGCGTAGTGGACCCCGGCGCAAAAAGGCGCTGTCGGCGACGCCCATCGAGAAACAAAAGGACTGGTGAAATAGCCGGTCGTTTGTTTCGGGGCATTTAGGTGTTCTTCGTCC